ATGGAAAGGGACTTCTGAGTATCTGTATTCCATTAACAGAAGCTCATCTAAACCCTTCTTTGTATTCTTTTAAATGCAATAATTTTATTTAAACTGGCAATAGGATTTAGCTCTTTTTTCCTTTTTTTTACTTTGCAATGAATTATTTTATTTGGGAGACTGTAATTGTGTATATTTTTAACAGGAGCTTTATAGCAGTGTTACTGCAAAAATCTTGCTGAGCAGTACCACTACTGAAAATGTAGTCAATACATTTTTTTAAAAAGTCTAAATATCAACAGGGTTTTTCCTTTATAATTGAGAACTACTTTTGTCCCCTATTCACACCATAAATATCACAGATAATCAACCTATAAGTGAACTGTCTCTTTTGCCACAGTGAGATCACATTTGTGTGTCACTGATTAGCAATTTGGCTGCTATTTTATTACTCTTTGAATTTTTGCCAAGTGCAGGCATCAGGAGATAAACAGTTCAGTGCACACCACTAACTTTGAATAATCAAGGTGGTTTATAGAAATTATTTTAATGCATAAACATCAATAAAACAGGCCTGTCACTAATGCAATTGGTTTCAGTGGAGTGTTTGTGCTTCCTTCTGTGGAAAACCATTCTGAATCATGCATACTTTAAAGCTCAGTCCTGGAGAAGGGGGTAAATGAACTAATCTGCATTTCAGAAACTTTATGCCTTTGGAATTCTTAGCTGCATTCCAATTGAATTAAAATACCAGTTCACACATTCACACTGTGTTTCAGAGGTTCCCTGGAAACATATTAAGGCAGGGTCTCCTAAACTTTTTGGTGGCATCTAGGGCTGCCAAGCCGCAGCAGGGCATCTGCACGTCTTCACAGGGTTGCACCGCCGTCGCCAGGATGTGACGCTACGCATCGCTCTGGCAACGGGGCTGTTTGGAGTCCCGTTGCCAGAGCGACGCGTAGCGTCACATCCTGGCGACAGCGGTGCAACATGTATCACTGTCCCCCGCAGCAGGGATCCTGTGAAGACGTGCGGATCCCCCGCCGCGGCTTGGCAGCCCTAGTGGCATCCCAAAATATCATGATACCCCCCCAACAGATATAATTTTGGGATCCTCTTTTTATTTCTGGCATGTTTCTTACAAATTACTTTTTATTCAAGAAAACGATCCAAAAACTAGTAGCAAAATAACTACTTTTGGCCCCGGTCACACAGGAGGATTTGCCCCGTGAAACGGACAAATTGAGGGCGCATCAAATGGGCACAATCATACGGCAACATCTTGGAAGCGTAGCGCACCCGTCTCCAACCCGTACCGTCGGCCTGAAGAAGCAGATTTAAAAGGCACTGGGGAAAAGGTAGTAGCTTCCAGTAAATGTGCGACACGGCGGGCGTCTGATTGGAGACATGCCGGTAGCCCATGGCATCCAGCAGCCGTCCACAACCCGCGCATGCGCAGTAACGCAGTACTGCTGTGTTGCCTCACTGGGACTATGCTGTTGCCTCCCTGGTGTGATCAGCTGCCGACAGCCTGAGGACAGAGCCGTGGGGGACTGTAAGATCGCGGTCCCACGCTTCTTTTAGCTCCGCCTCTAAAATGCCTCCCTCCCAGTGCAGATTTTCCCACTCATGTGACCGGGGCCTTTGCTTACTACAAACTTACAGGTTTATTTTATTTTTTTTCTGCTTCCCAATTCCCCCCCCCCTCAGGCACTGCTAGAGAAGGCAAAAGAAAAAAAAATCTGGACTGCAAATGAACCCCAGCAACTGATGGGCACTCCAAAGCACAACTAGCACTGGAACTCCAGGAGGGACAGAGCAACCTCAGAACCCTGCTTTTCTAGAAAGCCTCCTTGGGCTGCCCCCAGACAAGGGATCCTCTCCCAGCACCTTTCCATCTTCAGGGCAAAAACCATAGTCAGAACCCTCTCCTCTCTGAATACAATTTCTTGTGAGGTACCATAATAGTCCAAAGCAGCAAAAATGTAAGCTTCAGTTTATCAGCCTATATCCATGTCAAAACTGTCTCCAGGCACCAGTTCAGGGTTTCTGTAGCCTCCCTGGGATCAGCCAGAAGCCCAAGATAGAGCTGAATATCATTCACATACTGGTGACAATCCAGGCCAAATCTCCATATGACCTCTCCCAGAGGTTTCATGTACATGTTGAAAAGCACAGGGGACAAGATGCAGTCTTGCAGGCCCCACAAGCCAAGGACTAAGGGGTGGAACAGCAGTCCCCCAGCACCACCTTCTGAAACCAACCCTCTAGGTAGGACTTGGAACCACCGAAAAACAGTGCCTTCCAGTCCAACCTGAAAATGGAGTCCAGAGGGATACCATGATCAATGGCTTCGAGAGCCTCTGACAGGTCCAAAAGAGTCACACTCTCTCTGTCCATCTCCTGGCAGGTCATCTACTGGAGTTACCACAGCTGTTCCAGTCACATAACCAGGCCAGCTGACAAACCTACTTCAAAGTCAGTATTTTCCTATTCCAGGGGACAAAAAAACCCCCAAACCCTCAAGAGTATCAAGATATAATTGAACCTTTGCAGGTAGGAATCCAGGTTGGGATTGTCTTACAATCACTCTCTACCAACATGAAAAGTCATGAAAAAGTCCCTAAATCCTAGTGCTTTTTATTAAATAAGATTTATTGTCTAATAATATAAGTTCTCAAAACTAAGTAAATAAATACTGCTTCCAAATGATATGAAGAATTTGAACACATGGAGCTGTAATACTAGTGAAATTACTGAATTTGCACCAGTGCAGTGTCTGATAACACAACAATTCCTATGTTTTATCATTACTACAAACCACATGGTATGCAATTCTCCAACATTTCATTTACTTATTATTATTTAGGCAGCACCAATGGCTGTATGCATTATAATCAGAAAAAACATTCAAAAGGCCTCGCCTTAACACTTGGTGTCTAAAAGACAGGACTCCTGCAAGGAAAGGAATGTGGAACAGATCAGTTTTAAAAACACAGCAAAAGGAAATTAACATTGAAAGAAACACAACCTGGGAAAGCCCATGAGAAGAGACTTGTCACTGGGAAGCCATTTGAATGTACACAAAACTATATCAAACAATTGTACAGAGGAACTGCTGGTGCTGTTTTCTTTTTTTCGGGGACGAAAATGGACCTGGAGACCAAGCCCTATGAGGAAAGGCTGAGGGACTTGGGAATGTTCAGTCTGAAGAAGAAGAGGTTGAGGGGGGGGGACGTGATGGCTTTCTTTGAGCATTTTAAAGTCTGCCACTGAAAGGAGGGCAGGGGGCTGTTCCTGTTGGCAGCAGAGAACAGGACGCACAAGAATGGGTTTAAATTCATGGTAGAAAGGTAACAGTTGGATATTAGCAAAAAATATTTTACAGTAAGAGTAGTTCAGCAGTGGAATCAGTTGCCTAGGTAGGGAAGTGGTGAGCTCCCTCAAACAGTGGCTGGATGAACATTTGTTAGGGATGCTCTAGGCTGATCCTGCATTGAGCAGGCTGTTGGACTAGATGCCCTGTATGGCCCCTTCCAACTCTATGATTCTAACTTAACTGTCATTCCTATATGGCACAAAACTAACTAAGGAGTTAGGGCTGCACACTGCTATGCATTGCACTATTCACACAAATCCATCTTATGCCATGTCAAACCATTGGTCCATGTAATCCATTAGTGTCTAACATGGAGGTGGACCAAACACCCACATATGCTGCCCAGAACTCCTTGGAGGAAAGCTGCAATTTAAATGAGACAGACAAATAGACAAAGCTCTGCAAAGGCTCAGGTAGAGGAAAGAAAGGGTCAAGAGATTCCCAGCTTCATCTTCCAACCCTGTTATCTCAGAGACGCAACCTTGTGCAAGGAAAGCACGTGTTCTGTCACAAACCTACAGGCCTTCAGCTCCTTCATTCACATTCCATTAATTAAAGCCAGAATAACCTTTGGGTATCTCTGCTGATCTTATCAACTGTGCCATTATAAAACAAAATTGTGTTAAAGTAAAAGGACAACTGCTCTGGGAAGAGCCTCTCCTTCCTGTCCACACTTCTGTGATCCTAACCTAAGAAAATGTATTTATTTATTTAAGGAATGATGTCAGTGATAAGCAGGCAGAGGGGCCTGTGTGTGCTAGCTGATTTATGAAGACAAGATTACAGATATTGGAGAATACCAGAGTCTTGGTCTGCAAAATGAGTTGTCCAATATTTCTCTCAAAGTCCCTGAGTTAAAGTTAGGTTATACTCACACGACGATTTACTGTTCTGGCTGACAAACAATCGGAAGAACAGGAATGGGAATTTTGACAGGAGTTTAAATAAATTGGCTGAATGTAGGTTTAAATTAGCATTCTGCCATGGGAACTTTTATCTTGAGGAGGATGGGTGGTGCAAAGAGCCGACAATAATTTTTTAAGTGTGCACACAATGGCAGGTTTCATCTCAAGAGAGTGTCTGGGCAATGCAGCTTGGGAACAATGATCACCATAGAGAAGTGCATGCTGGGAAACTCTCAGGGTCCCTTATGTGACTGGAGCAGGCTCCTGCATTCTGGAACTTTTCCAGCTCCTTTGTAAGATTGTATGAGAGCATTCTGGAATCCTTATGTTCCTGGAGAAGCAAGAGGGCCACGTACCCTTGGAGGGCTTTTCCAAAGAGGTTCTGCCAAACTGAGACAGGCAGAAGAGCTTCTCCTCCCACGCCATATGGGGATAGGTTCACGTATATGTTATGCATATATAGATTGCACAGTCTGGTGGGGATTTAAGCGATGCAGGTTAAAAATAGCCTCCAGGAACACTGGTGCAAACAGCAGGAACTGGGAATGCATCTCTCCTTGCGACTAGGGGACGGTGCAAACAGCTAGGCCCCAAAGGACACGGAAGGCGGGGGAGACTCGGAAAGCCAGGCTTGGGGACCTTTGCAAGCAAAGGCGCTGCCAGAGGCGCCTCTTTCCTCTCGGCGCTGAAGAAACAGCCAGGCCCCGTCTGCCCTCTCCACACCCCTCCGGTTCTACCTGGGCTCCTCCTCCTGCTGCTCCAGCCGCTGCTCTCCATCCTCACGCCCATGCCTTTGGCCGGGCCCAGCCGGCTCCTCCTCGCCTGCAGGCCCCGCGAGCGACCCGAGTCCTGCCGGTGGCTCCCAGCGAGCGGCGGCGGCGTCTTCCCCGCCCTCCGCGGACAGGCAGGCAGGCAGGCAAGGGCCTGGTAGGCGGCGGGGTTGCTATGGTCACCGTCGCTCGCTTCGCTGCCAGGAGTGTTACGTCCTAAGACCGGGAAGGGAAGGGGGAGGGTTGCAGAGACCCACTACAGGCTAATCCTAGTAGGCGTATTTACTCAGAAGTAGGAACCGCTGAGGTAAATGGGATTTACTCCCAGGTAAATAGAAGGAAAAACCTGAAAGAGAGGCAAGGGAAGAGGCATGGAGAAGTCGCTGCGCTAAAACGATTTGCTTCTGCAATTTTCTTGAGTAACAATCCAAGGCATGTTTATTCAAAGCACGGTTGCCATTCTCCAGGTGCTGCCTGGAGTACTCCTGGAATTACAAGTACTCTCCAGATGACAGAGATCAGTTCCCCTGGAGAAAAATGTCTGCTTTAAAGGGTGGGCTCCGTGGCATCATAACAGGCTGAGCTCCCTCCCCCTCCCCAAACCCCACCCTCCTGAGAACCTACCTCCACAATCTCCAGGAATTTCCCAACCAGGAGTTGGCAACCATAATTGAAAAGTAGAGCCCTATTAATGTCAATGAAACTTATGCTCCCATTTAAGAGAATATGTTTGTAGTGACTCCATTTATGTCAGAGACTTCAGAAGAAATAGGCATCATAATAGGCTGTACTGTGGTTTTAATTACAGTCTGGCAGCATTCACAACAACCCTAGGATGTAGTTTGTGGGAGAGCACCAGGCCCTGGTTTACATGTTAGCTACAGCAGTGTGCCTAGGCCTGTGCTGCTCAGGATAATATCCAGAGCATCATCCACACGCCATTGGATATTGCACTATTTTTGGGGTAGCAGTCCTTGTGCCGCTGTATTGGCTTTTCTGCCCAGGAAAATTCAGCTGCAAAATTATTGCTGCAATGCAACAGTAGCACAATATCCAGTGATGGGTGGAGGCTGCTCATGTCTCTTGACTAGCTGTTTTAATAGAGAATCAATATTTTCTCCTCCTCAGTGGCTTGTCTCAATGTTCTTTTACCAAAGACACACTGCTATGTAGCATTGCCAGCTCTGGTTTAAGAAATACTTGGAGATTTGGGGGGGTGGAGCCTGGGGAGGGCAGGGACTTCAATGGGATATAATGCCATAACAGTCCACCTTCCAAAACAGCCATTTTCTCCAGGTGAACTGATCTCTGTTGTCTGGAGATCAGTCGTGATTCCAGGAGATCTCCAGCCACTACCTGGATGTTGGCAATCCCACAGTTTGCATGTGTATGTATGTGTACCTGGATGTTTGCATATGTCGGGTAGGTTTCCCTAATAGTTTCTACTTACTGATCCTTATTTTAGATCTTCCATTCATTGTTACAACAGATTTTTGTGGTTACTTAGAATGAAGATGATATCACCAGTGCCACCACTGAGATAGATCAAGATGGGTAGCCGTGTTAGTCTGTCTGCAGCAGTAGAAAAGAGCAAGAGTCCAGTACCACCTTAAGACTAACAAAATATGTGGCAGAGCATGAGCTTTTGTGAGTCACTGAAGAAGTGAGCAGTGACTCACGAAAGCTCATACACTGCTGCATATTTTGTTAGTATTTAAGGTGCTACTGGACTCTTGCTCTTTACTAGTGCCACCATTGTAGTACATGTCCTATCTCTGTGGGCAGAAGCTTACCCGGAGTGGCAGATGAGGTATCCACTATGTCATTTCAGACAATTGATAAATGGGGTATGAGAGTAACTTGCCCTCAAATGACACAATTGCTTTTCTTGCTCCTGAATCACTGTGCCATGACAAGGCACCCCTGCTGATTCATTCAACACAAGCCCACATACAGCTCAACCCACCATAAGATCTGTACGTTCTCTCTGTAGACATATGATTAGACTTGGCCACTTGATGATCCACACATTACAAAGACTTCTAATCAGACATATGCTGACGTTCCCTGCTGATAACAAGTCCCAGGCATGAGTGAACCTAATTTTGATTGGTCTCATGGCACACAGTGGGGAGGAGCTTATGCCTCCCCTACCCGGTGCCATTTTTGTGACCTGAAATGGCCCAAGGGAGCCATTATTTGTCATACTGGGGAAATGTATATGTAGCCTTCAGTACATGTAAGTGTCCCCAATGAGCAAATAGTGGTTTCCCAGGGGTATTTCAGGGCAGAACCACAGCAAGGGGGAAGGGAGTCAGCCCCTGTACCCTGTGATTCAAATTGGGCCTGCATATACCTGGTTATTAAATTCCCATCAGGGGACTCCCAGAAGATGTCTATTGAAAGTCCAAATGGATAATACTCTATAATGTGTGAATTGGTCCTCATTAGTATGAATAATTTCCATTGGACTTCTCCATATCTATTTTTAAACATCTGAATCAGCTCTGAAGTTGAAATAGAATGTTCAGTTCTGAGCTGTCAATCACAGCTCCTTTAGAAATCATTTCCTGAGTAACACTAATATGAAATAAGACATGATACTCTCAGCCAAAGGATCCACCTGCTCTAAAAAAATATTTCAGAAGGCTGAGACAGTTCATCTGAATGCAGGTAAAACCGTATTCATGCAAAAAAGGTATTAGACCTGGAAAGTTCAACAAGCAAATCAGCACAAACATGTTCACTACTCAATTGTGCATCAAATCCTGCATAGTAAATCAACTGAGTCTGGTGTTTATTGAAAAGAACCATGCATTGGGAATATAGAGTAGGGAACAAAATGGATTGTGTGCCAAATAACTGGATCCCTCTGACTGAAGGACCTATCCATCTGCCAGCAGTCTTTTGAAAGTACAGACATTTGTAACTAGATTTTAGTTGCATGCTAGCATCACTAATTCTGTCATTTAATACATTGCTTTGGAAAGGATTTGCAAATGGCAGAACCTTGTTTTTCCAATAATGCCAATTCCTTGTAATATATTGCTGTCTTAAAATGTTTGTTTTGTAAGGCACTTGGACAGCTCTGATGAAGTTTTTCTCTCATATGTTGTTAAAGATCTAATTTAAAAATTAAATCTTTAAACACACAAAAAAGAGCTACAATCCATCTGCGGGGTTACCTCCTATGCTTTAGTTTGCTGTAAAATTCTGTGCTGACTTATTCTTGTGAATTGTATGCATCTGATGATGAACCAAAACATCTCTCAAATTCCAGAGGACAGTAATTTATTTATTACAAGGTCTGCTGTCTCCCCTTTCAACTGCTCAGTTTGAGTCACATCGAATCATGTATGGAAGAGTGCAATCTAGAAAAGGTTAAATGGCTTGAAATCCTGTTGAAATCAATGAAATGTAAGTGCTCATGCAGGCGTGTTTCTTCAACATGGGTGAAGAGTGCTGAACTTTATTTGGAGTTTTGCCCCCAAATGCATAATTATTGAAACATGGTGTGAAACTTGTTGATCTGTTAATATAAAATGAAATGATTAGCTCTCTGGGATTTAATATACCTAGAGAGCAATCCCAAACGGGTTTACTCAGAATCCTATTCAGGTCTGTTCAATGGGACTAACTCCCAAGAAAGTGTTTTTAGGACTGTGCTGCTAAGTAGTTGGTGGCGGGGGGGGGGACAAGTAGCTAATAATGGAGCCGTTGAATGTCTTATACTAGAACCCTAAGCAGAGTTTCACCCTTCTCTTCTAAGTACGTTGAAATCAATAGACATAGAAAGGTGTAATTTTACTTAGGATTGCTCTATGAATCCGTTAATGTGTTGCTTTGAAACTAGCACTGCCTGCCAGTGTGCTTGCTTCCGGGCCCCATTAATTAAATCCTTATTAACCTGCATATTTGAATCTCTGAGCAGAAGAGGAGGCTGGTGAGACTTCACAAATAAATGAAAGAATAGACTTCTCAAGATAAGAAGAAAATGGTCCTATCCAGGCCCGTAGTCAGGATTATTTTTAATTCGGGGGGCCTTTAAATAAATTGGGGGGCATCCCCACCCCCAAGGGAGCACCACAAATAAAATAAAAAATTGGAAGTTGGGGGGCCTGGGCTGGATGGCCTTGGCAGCAGAGGTCATTTCGGGGGGGATTGCGGGGGATCGCAGTTCCCCCGGGTGAGGTGCGGGGGCGGGGCACATGACGAAGCCCCGCCCCCCGCTTCCGGCCACCCCGCTTCCAGCCCTCATTCAGCTAGGAGGAGGCAGGAGAAGAGGGAGGGTAAGTTGCTTCCTCCCTGCCTCTCCCCACCCCTGCCTGCCTGGGGCCAGGGAGGGCCTTGGCGGGGCTTCCTCACACTCCCGCTGGCCTTGCAGGTCCACCGCCGGGCCCCTGATGTCAGGGGGTGTGGTAAAAAAAAACCCTAGCTCTTTTTCTACGAAACGACCCCTGCTTGGCAGTAAGTCGGGGGGCCAGGCCCCGAGATGTCCCACTGTAGCTACGGGCCTGGTCCTATCTCAGTTTGCCTGAGAAGGAGCAGAACAAAGTCCTTGGGAGAGCTGCAGCATTCCTCCTCAAGAAATTCCCATAACTGCCACCACGGCCTTTCCAACAAAATGGAGATGGTGTTTTGTCAGAGAAGAGGCCCAGGAAAAAACATACATGAACACATGAAGCTGCCTGGTACTTAATCAGACCACTGGTCTATCAGGGTCAGTATCATCTACTCTGATTGGCAGCTGCTCTCCAGGGTCTCAAGCAGAGGCCTTTCCCATCACCTTCTACCTAAGCATTTAACTAGAGGTGCTGGGGACTGAACCAGGGAACTTCAGCACTGAAAGCAGATGCTCTACTACTGAGCCACATCCCTTTCTCAGGACAAAGGCAAAGGACAAAGGATGTGCCCCTTCCAAGCTGACCAGAGAAGACTGAGAACCCACAGGAAAAAGAGGACCTTGCCCTAGAGAAGAAAAACATTTATTATCTTTTTAGAAGTAAAACTCTGGAAGTTCCTCCCCCCAGGTGTGGCATCATCTCTGTAGGCCTTCCATTTTGTGTTGAAAACATTTC